AAATTTGGACGAAGTTATCGAGGACTTCGATACGACTTTATCGGAAACGAGATTGGCGTCACCTAACTATAATATGTAATAATATTAAAAAGAAAATCTGCCCTTTAGGGGACGTGTGCGAGTGCATATTATGGTGTTTGTCGAGTTCCATATAAACCCAGCTACGTACATTAGAGAAACCGATTTTTTTTTTTTACAATTTTAATTTTCTTGAACGGATTTCTATTTGCAACGCGGCTGAACAAGGAGAGGAAATAAGATTTAAAAGGTCACGTGAGCATTATATATGGGTTGCTATAATATACATGCGAACTACACACCAAGTAAATTACTTATGCCACCAAATTCTGTACACCGTGTACAGGATGATTCACCGACCATATTATTATGACCGACTCCTTTTTCATAATATATTATCATAATTGATGCACTTGTTCAAATAAATTCGTATTCATTGGAATTTACAACAATATCATAAAGACTTGCATGATATCTTCATTTACTTAGATCCGTGACTAAGAGCGACTTAGATCGATTTTTTTTTTAATTTTCAAACAAGAACCACCATTTTTTTTTTTAATTTCCATACTTACATAAAAATTGAAATTCAAATGAGCAGTATAATATATGGATTGGTATGGTTATTACAAGCATTATGTACTAAAGAGTATTTCCTGTGGAGGTTTTATATCGAATATAAAATAGACATATTAATATGTAGAGTAAAGTAATCGTATCGCTATCATACACTCGGTGACAATTTTTATATTAAAATTTGGACGAAGTTATCGAAAAATAACGAATATAGTTATTTTGTTGCACTTTAAAAATATTATTCGTGGGTATTTGAAAAATTTAAAGCGTATAATTCAATTTTAAACATTTTCAAATGTAACGCTTTCGATAAAAGTTAAATAGTTGTTATAATAACAAAATAAAATGCTCTTGTCGCAGTAGGTAAGACCATAAAATATACTTACTAAATAGGCTGATTGATCGCCTTCGCTCAGAAACGTTTTTCGGGTAAAATGATAAAATATCCATTACAGTGACCCACACGACACCTAATCTTTAGCATATCCATACTCTACCTACAATATGTGCACCTATTAGATTCTGAGTGGAACGATGAATTTATTGATTTGACAATGATGTGTGTATTTTTTTTTTGTGTCTGTGTACACGATAAGTAGTCGAAATAATACTTCGATTTTCAACTTCATTACCTATCTTGTTCAATTGGAAAGTGAATATCGTTGGTGCATTGGGGAGGTCAACATTTTCATTTTCCATTTTTTTTAAATTTTTTTCTAAAAATATCAATTAAATTTTATTTGTTGATTAAAAAAGCATGAAAATTGAATATCACGCTCCTAGTATATTGTTTCAAAGGCGGATGAAAAATATTAAAAATCCTTAGTCACAGATTTTTTTTATAATCATTTAAAGTTCAAAAATTGACAAAATATGAAAAAATCACGAAAATTAGCAAATTATTTTGAGTTAAGAATTCGTAATTTTTTTTCTTTTTAAATCTAAGATTTTAAAATGTAATACAAGATTCCTTATGAGATTATCTACCTTTATCAAAAAAAAATGTCTATAAGAAAGTCAAATTAAATTTTTATGAGCGTTTGAATTCAAATTTTTACAACTCGATTTCTGAAGCGATTTTCTTATTTTGTTGTAAATCAAAAACGAATAACTTTAGATACGTGAACATTTCACTGAATGTTTATATTATCATTTCCTATACACTATACAATTTTCAAATTATTTTGAGTCTTTTTGAGTTGTTTATGGACATTTACAGTTAAAATTTTTTTTTATGAATACCTATCAATTAAGTTTTAACTGTTTGGCAAAAAAGTGTAAAAATTTAATACAAGGCTCCTGATATATTGTTACAATATCAGTTCAAAAATATTAAAAATACATGGGCACAATTTTTTTTTTATAAGCATTTAAAGATCGAATTTTGACAAAATGTATCAAATTTAAAATTTAATAATTATTTTGTAGTTAAAAATTTATAAAATATTCAACTTTTATATCGAAGGATTGAAAATTTCAAACAAGATTCCATGTAAGTAGTTAATTCCGTTACCAAAAAAATCTAAAAAATACACAAGTACAATTTATTTTTATAGTCATTTTAAGTTCAAATTTGGATGAAATTACATAAAAAAAACCTAGAATAACTATTTTAGTTATTTTGTTGTGATTTAATAATATTATTCGTGGATACTGAAACTTTTAAAGTACACTGTTCTATATCTATGGACTATGATAGTATCATGGTTTGTTATTGATGGAAAATGCGTTATAGTACCTAATGGATATTGTGATATGATTAATTTGGAATTTATTATATGTATCTATTATAGGTCAATTTTTTTTAATACCATAGATAAGTATATAATATATCTTATACCTAGACTGACATACCGTCACCGCTCAAAATCGATTTTCTTATACAATGATATTATATCATTGAATTAAAAATTAATACCATCCATTATACAGTGACACACTTGTAACCTACTGTACAACAGAGCACCTTTTGGCTTTTTGTATTAGTTTATACTAATATTTTATAAAATTAATATGATAATATAATAGCGATAATGCAAGGTAGATAATAATATACAACTGAAAAAAGTGATGTTACATTATGATAAAATTACATACATTTTACTATTTTAGTTTGTTTATTTTAATAATATGGTCCTATGGTTTACATGACGTGGTCATTATTTTTAGTGGAAATAACGGGAAAGTTCTTTATAGTATACTGGCAGAACAGCTTATACTTTATACAAACAAACCTTGGAATCAATCAAAATCAAACGATGTTTCAACAATTAAATTCAATTATGTGAGTTTCGATTGTCTTGTTTTTTCTAAAATCAAAAATCGTTTTACCAACACGGAAAACTACGTTTTTCGTGACATAAATATTTACTGATTGGCTCAGTTGAATGATCTGGCTGATTTACAAGGATTATACTTATCTTTGTACATACACGATAAGATGGAAATCGTATTACGCGAATGAGTGGAATTCCTATGCGATTTATTATAGGTTATCTCAACGGAGATTAAAATTTGTTAATGACAATATGAGGTACTTATATAAAAACTATACAATATAAATTAACGGTAAGGTATTTAAATGTTCGATATTTTATTCGCATTTAGATGAACCTCAAACGCAATTTGGTTTCATACTCATTTCCGGAATCATTATTGACACCGTTTGTGAATAATTTGCAACTATAGATTATAGGAAGTGCCTAATAAAGTGCCAGTAAATGGTTAAATTCATCGCATCTAACTTTACGCAATGTCGTTTGCAAAGGAACATTGCAATGACGTTAAAATGCAACAGGTAGTTGTTAAATTTGGTATTTCTATTAATTATTGCACAAGTGTTGTAGGAACTGTTGTTTATGGAAAACTGATCATAATGTATAATATTTTATTACAGGGAAAAGCCAACACCGCCCACTCATATACATGTCAGCATACAAAATATATTTCCTAACTATGGTAAAAATATTTTCAGGAAAATAATATAGTTGTCGAAACATTTCAAAAAAGTTGCGTAAATAATTAGGAAATATTTTAGTTATACTCTTTGGCCAAGAAGTTCATATTTTTGAAAATATTTTTAAAAAAACATTTACACAACGTTTTAATCATATATTTTCAAAAAAAAACATATTTATCGAAACTTTATAAAAATATTAAGTCAACATTTTTATGCAATCATATAGTGCAATAATTTGTTATAATGAGAAGAAAATATTCATAAAATATTCATAGTCAAATATTCATTATTCAAGCACTTTAAATTAATATTCACGAAATAATATAATTTCCCAAATGCTGTGTGGGTGGTTTAATGGTAGATCATAGTACCTATGATATTTAAATATTATTAAGTAATATTAACAACAAACATCAAGACTAGACCAAGATTCAAATAAATTTGTAAAACATTTAAATTTAAGTTTTAGTGCTTTTTTGCATGTTTTTGTTAAATTAATTAGGACAATAGGAACATACCTATTTAAAAAAAAAAATTAAGAGCATATTTTTATGCATATTTCGTCAGTTCTGGTGCATATTTAATTGTTTTTTAGTGCATTAAATGCACAATAAGTGTATAGTAAGTTGTTATTAGGTTGTTTAGTAGGTACATCACGATTAAGTGGTTAGGTACCAGCTAATAGGTTAGGTGCAATAAAACCACAGAACATAAAATATTTTTCATTGAATAATATTATCGTGTTTACTATGTTGGTTGATGTCGGTTTTCTGCCAATTATACCCATCGGCTATTGATAAGGTGACCTACCGACCTGGTAACACATTGAAACGACTAGACAAACACTAATCTGTAGCTCCTCTCGAAATTCGAAACATTGGTAACTGCTAATTAGCAGTACAATGAACCGAATTTATACAGTCATGGTAATACGGTTAGGGTTACACATATTCTGTGATATAGGTATAAAATAGTATACAATTATTTATACAGTACCTAGCTACAGTATTATCGTAGTATTATTTCTTACAGCTGTTTTATGTAGTCGCTTCGTAGGTCGATTTGAAAGCGTTTTATCATAATGTGGGTAAATATCTAACCAGTATAATATATCACTAGCTATTGTATAACATTTTGTGTAATCTGCGAGTATAAATCGTGATAGCAATAGCCAGACTACTAGCTGTTAATAATAATAAATAATAATAACTACAATATACACATTATTATTAGTTTATCTTTATTGTTGTCGAGTTTAGGCGGCTCATTGACTCAACAGCCTCAGTGGCCAGTGGACGTTTATTATATTAACTTACCATATAAGTATTATGACCGTTATACTGTACCTACCTAATACTCTAAAGTGTAAATCCTAATATTCAGTTCACTGCGAGCGTCGTCACATGACACACTTTTAACAGTACATTGTGATTTTCAACCGAACAATATGCATTACAATAGTTTAATTACCAATGCGTTCGTTATTTGTTCTATTCTGCTATGCTGCGTACCACAATCGTACAGCCAAAATGTGGGACCAGCTGTAAAAATGACCAATGGACAAGTGTGGCCGAAACCTGTGCTGCAACACATCTACGATGAATACTTGACATTTGAGCCAGAAAATTTTCATTTCAATGTAAGGCACACAAATAACTAAGACAGGTTTTTTAAATTTATTAACCAATTTTTTTTAATAAAAGTTATATTTTAAATAAATGTTATGTATATTATCCTGCATGTAATAGTATTTTAATAATTATATAATTTTTATTAATTATATAATTATATAATTAATTAAGAGTATTCAATTTGACATCATCAGAGAGAACAATTATTTTTTTTTTAGATTACGGGTTATAGTTGTGACGACCTTCAAGATGCATTCAAACGGTATAATTCTATGCTGTTTTTAAAAGCTACGAAAACATTTCAACAAAACACTAGTCCATCTGCGGACCCAATCATTGGCAAGATGGAAGTGCTCAATGTGCAGTTGACAAATCCCTGTGAAAATTATCCTTCGTTAAATATGGAAGAAAAATGTAGAGTACTTTTTATATTTTCTTAATACCTCTCTTGTTGTAATGAGAACGAAAATACAAATTATTTGAATTTTTTTTTTTGTACAGACGAAATCAAAATAATCAATTCCAGTGGGCTTTTAGTTGCAACGTCTATTTGGGGTATTCTCCGAGGTCTAGAAACATTTTCTCAGTTGGTTTATTTGGAAACGGACGGTTCGACGGTAATATCTCAAACGTTTTTCACACTCACGCGAATTTATGATGTAAAATTTAATCATAATATTTTATAATATCATACACAGTTCGTGATTCGGCGAACGACAATAGTGGACTATCCGAAATTCAGACATCGTGGGTTCCTATTAGACACGTCCCGCCATTATTTCCCCATCGAATCGATCACGAAAACTCTAGACGCCATGTCGTATTCGAAAATGAACGTGTTTCACTGGCACATGGTAGACGACCAGAGCTTTCCGTATCAGAGCAGCGCTTTTCCGAACCTCAGGTCTGACGTTTTGACTTGTCTAATCGATAACTTATATGCTGTACCTATGTACACAGTATAATGTACCTATGATAAATTTTTTTTTTTAATATCGACGACAGTCAGCGCTGTCCTTGTTTGACATCGTTTTTATATGCTTACTTATTATTGTCGTGTATATAGCGAAAGAGGAGCTTTCGGGAAATCGGCCATTTATACGAGAGATGACGTCAGACGTGTGATCGAATACGCAAAACTTCGAGGCATTCGTGTCATTCCAGAATTCGACACCCCAGGTAAGTACGGACACAACAGAACAAGTACACATATACGTATTATTATAAGACGATCTGTAAGGCGTATTGTACACACATTTTATTATTTCAAGTACCTCTCGGCTATCAGGGCTTACAATCAAGTTATAATATTATGGTTATGATTATAACGTTACATTTGATAAAAAAAAAAAATGATTGCAATTTGTAAACGAGCACAGCGATAATCAAAAATAATTAAATACCCCAAAACAAAACATAACGATTAACAAAATATATTGTTTATCATCAAACAAAACATAACGTAAAACGGTAATTTTTATAGAATATCATTAAACGAAAAGTAACGCAAAACGAAATATTTTTAAATCTATTTATTCAAAAGGTCTATTGCTAGAAACATTTATTTCATGCGAACAATCTAAGAATTGATTATATTATATTCCTTATTCGGGCCATAACCTACCAGCATTAAGTTATTTTTAAATTTAATAGGCATTAACAGTATTTTGAAAAACTTGTGTAACGTTTTAATTGTAAATAACATAAAATAGAATTTTATTCAAATTCAAGCCCTGATACCTTATATATTATAAGAGCACCGAACAGACGTGTTATTATTGATATATTAAGTATACCTATTGAATGGCAATTTGTTAAAAGGGGCTCATGTATACATTTTCAACTACTTTTCAGGAGAAACAAAAAACAGTTTTCCTTTATTTCTATTCGCGTAATAAGATTAATCATCACAATTTAGATTAAACAGTATTGTATAAAAAATAAATAGCAAAAAAAAATTATTTAAAAAAAAATTTGTACTCTTATAAATAACGAATTTTTGTTATGTGACAGTGACATGTTAGGCACCTTTAAACCAATTCTAATAATTTTATTAATTTAAGATAACATAATTTAATATAATAGTCACATTTTTAAATAATATAATACCTTCTCATTTATTGTATCCTATTAAATAGATAACAGTGCAACTAAATGACAAACTTTGAACACAAACAAATGAATAACAATCTTAAAAAAAACAATATTTTTTAATTAAAATTAAAAAAAAAAAGAAAAACTCGTGTACCTAATTTTATTGAATCAGTCTTTGATTTATACGAACGATGTATTTACATAAGAGGATGAAGAATATACAACAAAACTATTTTTTGTCAAAAATGTAACTTGGGTCTCTCTTAACAAATTCCCATTCATATATAAATACTGATATATTACCTATATTTACAGTACGATCTCATTTATATTTCAGGACATACATTATCTTGGGGACTCGGTGGCATTCCGGGACTACTAACTGAGTGTTCGGATTCCGATACAAATCAATTTGGGCCTATCGACCCGACGGTTGAGAAAAACTACAATTTTATCAGGACGCTATTGTCTGAAGTCAGTGAATTATTCCACGACAATTATTTACACCTCGGTGGCGACGAAGTAGATAGTTCTTGTTGGTAATGACAATTTATGGTTTTTGTGTATTATTACGATTTACAATATTATAATATTTCAACGTATATAATTGAGGCTCTGGTTTAATGAAGGATGGGAGGGGGGAATTCAAATTAATATGATGTGTTTATTCAATCACTTACGAATTTTTTGAATTTTTTAATCTAATAATTGTTGGAACAGGGAACATGGCTTGGCGTGTAATCAGTATATATGTACCTATACAACAGAGATCGGGCCCCATACAGCATTTTCATATTTTCTAACTATGGTAAAAATATTTTCAAGACAATAATAATATAGTCGTCAAAATATTTAAAAAAGTTGCTTAAATAATTAGGAAATATTTTGGTTATATTCTTTGGCCAAGAAGTTCATATTTGGAAATCATCTAATAAAAAATTTTACAAAACATTCTAATCATATATTTTTATGAAAACTTTATAATAATATTTAACCAACATTTTTATGTAATCGTATTGAACAATATCATGAGAAGAAAATATTTATACAATATTATCAGTCAAATATTATTTATTATTCAATCACTTCAAAATATTCACAAAATATTATTATTACGAAAATGCTTTGTGGAACTGCACATCCTTGCGAGATTGAACAATTTACCCGTTGCTTCGATCGCTATAGTGCCACATTTAAAATTTGACAAATGAAATGTTATTATAATACCTATAGAATTAATAATGCATTAGATATTTCAAAATTTATCGGACCAGTCGTACAAATAATATATTGTTTAAAATGTTTTAGTAATAGCCAATTGGTATAATGAATAGGTACAAATAAACACAAATAATATTATTTTATATTAAATTTAACATTGATTTTATAATTTGGTTTTCGAACTTTCAAACGTAAATATCCAAAGAGTCCGACGAAAAACAAAACATCTTTTTGTATTTTCCTCATATGGCTCATCGTAGTGCGACGGAACACACAATGTGATCAGAATATAAATCATCTTACTCACAGGATTTAAGTAATGTGTTAATGCAAATATAAATTTTGTGCCAAGGTGTTAACCTATCGTCATACCTGGTTGGTTGTACACACGTTTATATTTTAAACCATTATTGTATGTCTATATAGCCGCCATTGGACAATGACAATACTATTTTCAATGTCCTTATTAATTACCAAAAATCAATCGCTATAATTAATCGTCGTATAGTAATCATGATTCTTAATATTTTGAAAAACAATGTTAAACCACGTTTTTAAACAGAACATAACATCCATTGAAATTCTTTATAACTCTTGGGTTCGGTTAGGGTTTTATCTAGTGCACATTTTTATTTAGAAATGATGCACATTAGCGCAAAACCCTGCAGGTATACAACAGGTGGACCTAAATCCAATCTCTTTCAGCGATTTTCCCAAAAATTCTGCACCCAATAACTTATAATATGCGAGCATTAGGTTTATAATATATTAAATATAATAAATTGGTTTTCGTCGACTTTCGCAGGACCACGAACAAAAAGATACAGGACTTTATGCATCGCAATAACATGAAGAACGTCGTCGAATTAAAAGACTACTACTTCGCAAACGTCTTCAACATAACTCGAAGTTTGAAAACCGTGCCCATCGTGTGGGAAGAAATATTTGACGATAATATCCACCTCGACCCCAAAACCGTGGTCCATGTGTGGAAGGACTCTTATGATTATTCGATCTTGTCGAGGGCAAGTATTTATATATAATATTATAGTGTACACCATGTGGTTCATTTAACGTAGGACACTCTTTATTCAAAAAATATTCATTTTTTTGAAAGTATATTTTTCACATGGTATCAAGAGGTTACAAAATAACGCGTTTATTAAAAAAATTATATTTTCAAATATTCTTATCCTCATAAATTTTTTTTACTTTTTTGAATCACAGCACACTGTTTTGATCTTCAAAAGCAGAATGTTTTTCTGAGTATTTTGATACATATAACAATCGAATTTAAGACCAGAAGCTTATGAGTTATGACTATATAGTCTATAAGTATTTAAAGTTTAGTGGAGCGGAGTAGTGGACCAACACTTTGAGGGGTCCCCGGCGTACCACTCCACTCTACTCATCAACATTTTAAATACTTATAACTCATAAACTTCTCGGCCTAAATTTGATTTATCGAAATACTTAAAAAATATTCTACTTTCAAACATGAAATTATAACGATATGTTGTTATTCAAAAAAGTGAATAACTTCATACATGTTGTTTTTAAAGACTATAAATAAAGTAAACTTTTTTTTATACTTTTTTAAATAATGAGTTTTTAATGATAAAATAATCACCCTATATATGTATTATACACAAAGTAGTTGGGTTATTATATCTATAATGTTTCGTTATAAATCAGCAGACAGGCCACACGCACACAACGTTTATAAATCATTATGGCTGTGACTATTGATGAACTTGAAATTGTTAAGAGATTAGTCTAATATTTCACCCAACTTTCAGCACCAAAAAGGCATTCACTGTAATATTTGAAACTACCTGCCACGTAGTTATTACTAAAATATTTATAGGTACTAAATATAGTTAATACAAATCATCACCCACTGGCGATTGGCCGTTACCCACCCACAACCACCTTGAAAAACTCAGAGCCAAGCATCGTATTAATATCATCAATGTACGAATAATTAATATACGATATATATAGGTGGTATTCAGAACAGATAACGAGATATGATCGATCGTGATGATGTTATTATTTTATATATTTTATTTTGTTTTCACGCGTATATGAAAACCCATACGACTTTCCTAAAAAGCATTTCCGGATTTGCCATTGCAGGTGATGAAGAGCGGACATCCGGTGCTGTTTTCCAGTTGCTGGTACGTGAACTACATCAAGTACGGAACGGACTGGCCGAAATTCTACAGGTGCGACCCGACCTCAGAGGTCGGCGATAACAGTTTGTTCTTGGGAGGCGAGGCCTGCATGTGGGGTGAGTTCGCGGACGAAACGAACTTATTGCCACTCACGTGGCCCAGGACCAGCGCAGTGGCCGAAGTGCTCTGGTCACACACTCTAAACGAGACTGATGCCAAGTACAGGATCGAGGAACACGTTTGCAGGATGAGGCGTAGAGGAATACCAGCTGAGCCTGCCAACGGACCTAGCTATTGTCATTACTAGAACCATTATTATAATATAGGACAGTATATTACTGTCGTATCTCATTGGATATAAATACCATAACAATATATTGTAGAGATGAATAGGAAATACCTTTAGAAAACATGTATTAGACAAAATAACAATATAGTATCACCATTTTAAAAGGTTTTTTTTTGATTTTCATTCCATTCAGATTGGTAAAAATACGAGTCAAAGAATTCGAATTGGTGAAAACATTTTGTATTAGACTGTAGTTGAATAAAAATATCATAAATAATTATTAATCATAAAGGGGAATTCATTTTTACCCATTTTTATAAATTATACACTAGTATACTTACATTGAAATAAATAATTGAGCATCTTGACAATGATTATCGACCCTATATATACACACACGCTTTTATTGCTTGATTTGTGATTAAAATTTAAACAGGGGAAAATTTGGTAACGACTCCGGTGTACAGTTGTGATGGGTGTCGCGTGCACCTTCTGAGCCAAGACCGTCTATCAGACTTAGATAGGTAAATTTTTTTGTTTAAGCAGCCTGCACGGGTCGTAGTAACTCAAGTTTTTGACTCAACATTTTTTTAACGACAATAATTATCTACAATTACTATGGAAAAAAATTTAATAAAAATTTAAAATTAAAAATGTCTATACATACCTAGTTCAAATAGAATCAAAATGTTTAAAAAAAATTATACAATGTATAGAAATAGTTAATATAAATAAGTAGGCATTTGGTAAAAATGTCATTTTGAGTTATTATATCAAAAAACTATTGTGAATTTAGGTTCAATTTTTTTTTTATTACACTAGACAGTAACGTCATATGATGAGCCATGTATTAAATGATCAAGTTCTTTATAAAGCGAAACATTTTTTTCTCAACAAGAATTTAAATAAAAAGCGAATAAAAATAATTTTATAGTGAATAGAAATTACTGATATAAACATTCGATGAATAAATCACATATCTGCAGCTATACTTTTTTGAGTTACACAAAAAAGCAAAATGGTTTTTTTCAAAAACAGGTGTAGCCTAAAAATTCCCGTTTCTTCTTAATTTTTGATTCTTAGCTGATTATTGAATGTATTGTTTTTACACTGAAGTATTTTTTTTTTTTTTTTGGGGGGGGGGTTATATACCCGATAAGTAGTCGAAAAAATGCTTTGATTTTCAACTTCAAGATCTTTTCTATTGGAAAAGTAAATCTATATAGTTAGTACTTTAAAGAAGTGAAAATGAAATAATCCCAGTAATTTTCAAAAGCTTCGGTAAAAAAAAATTATTTACTGATTATTTATATTACCGTTTTCTAATGACCATTGAATTTTCAAAAAACTCAACTCGTTTTGAGCTATTAATAGTCATAAAAAAATGTTGATTTTTATTGCTTTTTTTTAACTAATGCCGATAAAAAATTTTCTTTCTGTCAAAATATTTAAAAATGTTAATACAAGGTTACTCATACGTTTTTGTTAGTGGAAACAAAAAAAAAAGTTGAGTGTTAATCCACAATAATTTTTTTTTGAGCATCTTAATTAAGAACTTTGTCAAAATAACGAAAACTTGCAAATTATTTTAAGTTAGAAATTCATAAAAATGTATCTGTTTATACCCAAGAATTTAAAAATTGAGTATAATATTCTTCATTATACCTTTAACAAAAAATAAAGTTTTGTTTAGTGCTATTTTAAGTGTAAATTTGGACGAAATTAGATATTCGGCCTATGTGCGCCTGATGGAATTAAAATTGTACACCTTCCATTAGAGTGACCAACCATTTTTCCGCTTACGCATTTTAAGACTATCGGGAATTTGAAATGTTAACCTCTCGAATGCACACCAACTATAGCATCACTTTCCCACTACTAAATGGCATTATAATATTTAATAACTTCTAAATTATTTTCTGTACATTTATTTGCATTGGTAGTTATTAAATCTAAAACCAATCAAAATTTACCGTGAAACAGTTAATCTGCTCTCCAAGCAGGCTGTTGACATTGGAACTAGACCGATGACAGCTGACGGGCATTAATAATATTACAATTTATCAGTTTAGAGTATAGACATGGCATCAATAATAACTATAATGTGCATTGCAATCGGTAAATTGCTTAAAGCATTTAATTTTAACACTATTGTATACTACTATGAATCAATATTAGGTCTTCCAAAGTCTCAGACCCTTGGGCCACGAGTACGATTGAGAACGTTTTATTTTTTTGATGACACGATTGCGGCAGATCAAAGAAACAATATTTTGTACCTTACAATCAAACGGTTGAGAACGATTTTTAGAGCGACATTGCAGTTCAGTGCCAATAAAACTACGTACATATTATCGATGGCATAGTGCACGCATGTTGTAAGTGCAAAATTCAGATAAATGAGTTTTTTGCATGGCTGTATTGCTGACAACTTTCTACATATTGTGTACAAATGTTGTAAGTGTATAGAACATATTTAGTCTGCTAGAGGTCTGCGCGTTTGTTGCAGTGCATGTAATCTGCGTGATGTGAAATTACAATTGTCGTTCTCCTGAACAATTACAAAAATGTCACTTACAACATATTGTGTACACTATGCCATCGATATGTTCGATAATTAAAAAAATAGTTTACCTATGGAGTTCTATATAATATTGTAAGTACAGGGGCCTCGAATAATTCCTGTTGTCGTTTATCTTAATGTTTAAGATAATAATAAATACGATATCGTGGTTTGCGTATATCTACAGATATTTTTTAAATTTTTAATCTGAAGCTGACAAATGATTAATGAAATAAATACCTATAAATATAAACATTTTGTATTCTTTATGTTAAACTGACAAATAAATAAAAATATTTTGTATATAAATATAAATTCACATCAGACAAATAACTGCAGATATCTCTATATTTAATTTCTATTTTGTATTTTTAATTACTGCAGCAACGTCGCATAAAAGTTGGTAGGTAAACAAGGTTCTCAATCGTGTTATTAAAAAAGGTACTTAAAAATGGTAACGTTCTCAATCGTGTTCTACCCCTGTATTATACTATCTTGGTCACAAGTATTAGAGAATATATTATATTCTATGTTTATTAACGCTAAAACTGATAACGTATTATGAGTATAGGTATTCACCCTGTGACCCTTTCCCAAAATTAGTACACTACTTAACAACCATGTACCACCCACCACCCAAAAAAAATTGGTCTTGCGGCTGCATCCGTGACTATTTAAGACTATTTAAGTTTAAACGAAAATACTATGAAAACTGTTTACACTGTCTATCATATTGCTATCGTGAAATGAGCTGGTAATAAATGCGTAGCAACAATTTTAAAGAATCTTTAAGTTATTTAAAAATAATGTTCTTTATAATCGTACCGATACCGTACTAATGATTACCATCGTATGTTATCATGTCAATTATCAACCTAGGAATAAATAATTTTCTTAATAATAAGAAAATAATTATTACCATTTACTTAAAATCGTTTGTCGTTTATCGTCGACGCGGACCTTTGGAGGACGTTGTAAACACATAAAATATGTCAGTAAACCTACTTTGTTTGTTTTTATTTGTCAGTCATCAAAAATGCATTAATATCTCAAAAGTAAGTGACTAAATTGAAAATGTTCTAATCATATGAATTAATTATTTCAATAATAATATTGTGAATTAGTTGTTACTTAGCATTTGGTGAAACAGTTTTTAGAACATTTTAATAAGCGGACCACCTCAAATCGCCAAGAAACTACAGGAAAAATTATACTGGTCGCTATGATTTGAAGTACACTGAATACAATTTAACACTCGAAGCTAAATCTGTGAAATAAAATCGAATTTCCTTACGAAAAGTATTTAATCAAAATTGTATTATTATAAATTTAGCTAATTGCATATAGTGAAAAATAATTGTACTAAAACTCTAAATTTAGTTGAACAATTATAGAGTTCCAGAACAAATTAATTTACAATATGTAACCTGTGGGTGACAAAATGACCACAGCCAGTAAATATCTTTAAAATGTAAATCATAAATATCCAACGGCTAACACAGATATCTATTATAATTAATAATAAACTATACTAATAAGTAGGGGAGTGAAGTTATCGCATTAAAAAACTCACTAAATTGAATGCATTATTGCAATAAATTAATATATATATTGCACTTCTAAATTTAAAAATTGCAGCTAAAAAATTTAATTATAATCAATAAAATCAAACATATCAATAAATACTAATAATGAAAATTAATTATGAATATTGCTTACATTATTGCATTGCACGACAAATGATTTTTTTAAGCTTTCTTAGCGACCCTAATGCGATAATCGCTCTATATAGAAATATTAATAAAATAATAAGTATTACAACAAATATAGAAATTTGTTCATTGGTATGTTTACTTACTCTTATTTATGATATATCAAGTTATATAATCTTAAATGTAAACAACAATTATGAAAAATAGTTAAAAGTGCAGTCAAATTAAAAAAAAAAATGCCAAAATTGAATTTATTGCAATATAATTTTTTTTTTTGATTAAATTAAGATATAGCATATTTTAAGCTTGCTCAGCAATAAATAAAAGCATTTACAAAAAATATTCAAATGCATAAACTTCACTGCCTTACTAATAAGTATTTATTTGAATTAACCTATCAACACAGCAACACGTCCGACAAATTTAAATACAAAACTAAAAGACTTTAACTATATAGTAACATGATACAATTAATTATGCAATTATATTTCAATTTAAAATAATTCGAGTATTTTACTGTTACCTACTGAAAAATATTATGTTTATAGATTAGAAATATTACTCTTTTATAAATATATTATATTTTTAGATTCTGAGCGGAGCTAGGAAGCTAGTGGTTACTGGTTCTACAATGGTGTTTATTTTTTATTTATTTTTTATCCTGCATACAAAATTTATACCAGAACGATGATCGATTTCAACATATATAGTATCTATCTTTCAGCAAATTGGATCAAGATATGGTATTTTAGAGAGGTTATTTTTCGACTTTCTCAATAATGATTTAATACCAAGGGAAAAACCTCTGCAGTCAATAATAAGACTATTTTTCTTATACAGTTATATCATATCATTTAATTCAAGTTCAACAACAATTATTAATGTATTCATTCAAATCCTTATTTTTGGGTTTATTAAATATTATACTCTAATACCATATTTTTTACTACATAAGGATAGTGTCCTGCAGTGGCTTTATATGGTGGGGGGGGGGCAAGGTGGGCATTTGCTCCAGTTTGATTTTAAAAGCGTGGGTGCCCATTTGTTGCCGTTTTACCATTATTATATTTTATTAGCTCAAAAAATGCCTATTTTATAATATTTTCAGAAAATTACGTGGTAAGAAATTATTGTCACAATAATACATTTTTACTTATATAATTGATAGTTGGAATATATTTATATATTTAGACCTATGCGGGGACGTACACGCATTGTATGGAGTTATGTATTTATGTATGTTTGTTTGTGTGAATTAGTTGTGTGAAGAAAAAAAAACTGACAAGGGATATAATAACTAATATTGTTGTAAGCTCAACAAATAACAATAATAATAATTAGTATCGTAATCCCGTATAGTTTTATTTCTAAAATCTAAAATGCATACAAATTCTAAAAACAACAACCGCTTGGCACTCTTATTAGTTATAATATTGTCCATTGATCCCACAGACTTCAGTTAACTTACTATTTGCGATAGTCGTGTATATATAATATGGTGAACTATTAAACTATTTTGCGCTTGTGTTAATTTAGTACCTATTATCTTACCTAAATTAAAATTTATTTATTTCGTGACGAGTGTTCACATTAATCTTTCAATTTGAGCAAAATATGACTTGAAAAAAAAAAAATTAAAGGGGGGTAGGGCTAAAAATATAAAATTACCGCAAACCGTTCAAGAACCGAAAACAATTTCTGGTATGTTTAATGAAAAAACAAAACTTGAACGGCAAAGCAAGCAATAAAAAAAATAAATATTATAATTTAAAATAATATTAATTTGTAAATATATAGTACTTATACCTATAGAGCAGTGGTTTTCAACCTGGGGGTCGCGACCCCAAGGGGGTCGCGAATGATATGTTTGGGGGTCGCCAAAAATAATAGATGAAATGATTTTTCCATTTTATTTAAAAATAAAATAAAGTTAATTTTTAATTTTGTTTTATATAGACTATTTACTCATTGTATGATTCATAGGGAAGCTTTAGCATCTAAAAAACTTGAACCATTTTTCAACGAAGTACTACAAGATGCTATACGTGTAATTAACTTTATAAAATCAAAATCATTAAATTCTAGATTATTTACGATACTATGTAATGAAATGGGATCTGATCATACAAAACTACTACTTATACTGAAGTTAGGTGGTTATCCCATGGTAAAATATTATTAAGAATTGTTGAGCTTAAAGATGAAATACGAATATTTCTCCTTGAACATAAAAATACACTCGCAGAACACTTCTTAAATTAAGAATGGTTAGCAATTTTAAGTTACCTTGCCGATATTTTTGAAAAATTAAATAATTTAAATTTAAGTCTTCAAGGTAAAAATAAAAATATATTAATTCTCTCCGATAAAATCGATGCTTTCAAAAAAAAAAATATGTTTATGGATAAATTATATTTATAATGAAAACTTCGAAATGTTTTCATGTTTTTCAGAACTTATTGCTGACAATGAAATATTTGATATTAAAAAAATAAAAGACATAATATTACTTCATCTCGAAAATTTTAAAAACCATTTTAACACACGGTTTGAAAAGTTTCCAGAAAAAAAGTTGGGATGGATAAGAAATCCATTTTCTATTAATATAAATGAAATGAATTCTGAATTAACTTTAGTTATGAACGAGGAATTAATTGAGTTATCTGCCGATGAAAATCTGCGTATAAAATTTAATGAAACTACAAGTGATAAATTTTGGATTTCTATAAAATCAGAATACCCAAAATTGTCAAAAGTAGCTGTATCAACACTTCTGCCATTTGCAACCACTTACCTTTGTGAAAGGTAAGTTTTTCGGCGTTTTCAGCTCTTACAGTTATAAAAAACTAATATCGGACAAAATTAAACTTAGAATCAGATCTAAGAGTTGCAGTCTCTAATATAAAACCTAATATGGAAACAATCATTTCAAAAGCTCAAGCTCAAGCTTTTTTTTATATTTAAATTTATTGTATATGCTTGTATTGTTTTAAAATAATGTTGTATTATGAATTAATTAAATTTTTAAGTGTAAATTAATCAAAATCGTATAACAAATAAATATTTTGTCAGTAATTAAATCAAATTTTGATGAATAAAACAACATTTTTTTTTGAAGGGGGTCGCAGTACAAAAAAAATAAAAATGAGGGGTCGCGACGCAAAAAAGGTTGAAAACCACTGCTATAGAGTATAGGTAAGTGATGAATCAGGGAAAATTGACTTACCAATGATGCAGTTCAGGAGTTGATATATTTTCGAAAATAAAAAAAGGTATTCTTTAAAAAACTACTAATATTTTTGTTTATCAATAAATATTGCCATGATAGTTTGCAGACTTTTAATTGATATAGGTGTACTCGTACAATTGTTTTTATAAAATATCTGCCTCCTTCTATTTAAAAATTATATTACCTAGTTAATAAAAAGGGCGGCATAGAAAAAAAGGAAAAAAATATAACGAGCGAAGCTAGCCTTCATTTTTTCTATATTGAAAACTGAAATGACGCCAATGGTGTCCTGTGGATTGCAACAAACGTCTGTTTTATCAAAATATGTAATTTGTAAGCTCACTTTTTTACTGTAGATTGTTAAGTGGATATTTTTTTTTTTGAAAACGTTGATGTAAGTAGCTTGTTCAAAACGTCAAACGAGTAGTTACTCAGTTATTAAAATGTTTGTACAAAGGATAATAGTCCTCAAAAATTGTTTTACAAAAACATAAAATAAATGTAATATTGCAGAATCCAGTATAATAAATACTAGGGGCATTCTTACAAATTATTAACGTTGATGGATTAGTATAAACTATAAATCACTAACTTTTTCAAATTACCATGGCCCCCATATCTTACAAACCCATTATCATGGATCTATTATGTATCCTTAGGATACATAATACCTAACTCAAATCTCATTCTTACGGATTTCGATGTTGAAACGTCAACGTTTTCAGAAAAATTATCCTCTACAAATAATTTACATTATATCGTGGTGGAAGGGGGGGGGGTGGTTCTCATTTGAAGCGCAGAAGTTTGTATCGCCTGCACAGGACATCCATATAGATAGTACGATGTACGAACAAAGTCAAGAATTTGAAAATGAATGGTCTTTGAATGGGTAAATTTAAAATCCCAAAAATTAAACCTTGAATAACTGCATTATTGAAAAATAAAAAGAAGGCGTGAGCATGATAGGCGAATCACCCTGTATGTTTGTATAGATTGTGGTAATTTCCTCCGACACGCGTTATTATTACATATAGCTATACCGCAGACGGAACTCGAATATAACTTCGACGATAGTAGACGTTTAATGTCCAAAGACGGAAAATAAGTAATAAATAATAATATAAGAGCGATATATATTTATTTATTTTTTGTCATCACTGATATTTTATAGTGTGGTACATATTATACAGAGTGATTCACCAAGCGTGCTTATCCCTATAATGATTTGGCTCAACAAACCAGTTATTCAAAATCTAAATTTTTGGAATTTTTTAAGTAATTTTGAAGACTACAATATTAACGGTTTTAACGCGAATATAACTTCGACGATGATAGACGTCTAATGTCCAAACACGGAAAATAAGTAATAAATAATAATATAAGAGCAATATATATTTTTTTTTTTTTGTCATCACTGAGATGTTATAGTGTTATACATATTATACAGAGTGATTCACCAAGCGTGCTTATCCCTATAATGATTTGCCTCAACAAAGCAACTATTCAAAATCTAAATTTTTGGAATTTTCAAGTTAACTTAAAGACCATGATGTTGTATTAAAATTGTCAAGTTTTTTTTTAGGAGCTTATCGAACAAACTTCTGTCTTTCGAATGAGAACCATTTCGTTGTCTACTGTAAATCGTTTAGCAGACAATATTTTTTCTCAATTTAGACGCATAAGAATCAAAATTCGAAGGAGCAATTTTTGAATATCCATAACTTTGTGTTCTTAGAATCGAATCGGGTTAATATCATCCATGAAAAAAGGTCACAGTCATAAATTTCGTAAATTGTGGTCTGGATATTTTTTAAATGCATGTAAATACATTTATAAATTAAAAAAAAAACATGCAATTATTACAATTGAATATATTAATTTAAAAATTCAGGGTACAAAAATTAGAAAAACTATGGAAAAATATACATCAGTAATTATATACAAAATAATAAATGAATATTGCGAAAATTGTAAAAAATATTTGATTAGAATTTGTGAGAGAATCATCATAAAAGTTGTAACAAGTTATTTAATTGGTAATTTTTATTCATAAACAACATATTGTAATAGTATCAAAACCAGAAACGATAGACTTGAAGCGACTTGAACGATATTCCACGCCCTTATAATAATATCAATAAATGAGATCGTTTCTCAGTTTATCGATAATTATTTCGTATATTATTATTTAATATTCTTTTGTATACAACGAATCTCCTACTAGTCCTACTTGACATAAAATAAAGCGAATATTAATTGTCTTCGATAAAAACAACAAAACAAGCGTGTTGTAACCACTTCCCTTTCAGACGGATCATAGTTATAGATAGCCCCCCCCCCCCCACGACATTTTGTAATTGGAGAGTACAGAGCACAGAGCACAGAGCTCACATTTGAATTATGTTACCAGAGAAAAATATAATTTTATCTAAAATACGTCGTGAAAATAAATCACATTTCGTGATAAAAATAATTATAATATGTAAAATATTTTTTACTTGCGTGAAATTACTTATTTTAAATTTTGGTTAAAATTAGTGTTTGAAAATTTCATGAAATTTAAAAAAATGAAATATTTTAGAATGTGTGAAATATTTCAGTATTTTAATATGTTTTGTTTATTTTCAAATAAGTTTTATATTTACATATAATTGTCATAAATTACCTTCATAACTGTATGTACACCTGTATGTACACCTAATTACCTTTGGTAATATACATTTAAAATGGCATTCAAAATTTTTAAATATGTTAATGTTTAAATGATACAAGTAATTATACAATATTATACATGCATATTGTATACCTACTGAATTCTGACATTAGAATTTAGAACACTGAACATTGTGTCAAAAAAAAAAATAAATTGTGTTTTTATTTGTGTTAAAAAAAAAAAGTTTCACGTTTTTGTGAAATATATCACCATATACTCGTATAGTGAAATATTTCAAAATTAAATATTTTATACTTCAAACACTAGTTATAATTGCATGATTTTATTGACTATAAAAGTACAAATAATAAATAAACATTGCGATCAACTTAGAAATAAATATTGGATCCAAAGAAATATAATATATAACTTCAAACTTGGTAGTTGGTACCTACTATAGCATCTAATTAAGGGGGGTTCACACTACACGGTATAGTGTGAACCCCCCTTTATACCGCTGATTAATTTGTACCTCAATGTCTTGTTAAAAGAGGTTCCTAATTGAGAAAAGGGCTCAAAATATATTGTTAGCACCCATACATAGCAATACGTTTTTGTAAAATAACCATTTAAAGTTCAGATTTTGACAAAACTCATCAAAATCTTCAAATGGTTTTTATTTTTTCTTGGTAAAAAGTTTTATTTTATCTATAGTCTATTTTTTGACGTTAAAAGGAGCCGGAATGTAAATAATAGATACCACTAGAAGTTTAGAAAAAAACTTGCAAAACTTTCGATTTTTGGTGAACACGTTTTTTTCAGTTCTATTGTTGAATAATATTGATGCTCAAATGATGTACGACCGATACGGTCGATGCACAGGCAGTAGCCATTTTCCTCCAAAAAAAAATAAAAAATAATTCTTGGCCATTTTCCTCCAGTAAATAATGAATAAAATATTAAAATAGTTAGTTGAAATAATTTATGTACATCAAAAAAATTAAAAAGCTTTATATTAGGCTTAATCGACAGCTGATTTAGATATAGCCGATACCAGAATGTATCGACCGAAAATGTGATCCTAGCAGGGCTTGCATTTGAAAATAAATTCTGTTTTATGTTATTTACAATTAAAATTTAAAATGTTTTTCATTATTCAGAACTAAAAAGTTATAGAAGTTTTGAGTTTTTCGTTATTTTAAAATAGTGTTAATACCTATAAAATTTAAAAATAATAACTAACTCGAGTAGGTAGGTAATGGCCTAGATACATATATTTAGTGTTTGAAGTATGAGAAATATTTCATGAAATATTTCAAATGAAATATTTCATTTTGAAATATTTCACTAAGTTGTGAAATATTTCACAAAAACGTGAAACATTGAAATTTTTTTTAACACAAATAAAAACATAATTTATTTATTTTTTTAACACAATGTTCAGTGTTCTAAATTCTAATGTCAGAATTCAGTAAGTATACAATATACATGTATAATATTGTATACCTACTTGTATCATTTAAACATTAAAATATTTAAAAATTTTGAATACCAATTTAAATGTATAATACCAAAGGTTAGGTATACATACAGGTACCATATAGTGATGAAGGTAATTTATGACAATTATATGTAAATATAAAACTTATTTAAAAATAAAACAAAATATATTAAAATACTGAAATATTTCACATATTTTGAAATATTTCATGAAATATTTCATTTTTTTAAATTTCATGAAATTTTCAAACACTACATATATTGTACTGTTTATTATATAATTAATTCTTAGATAATCGCTTGAAATAAATTTTTCTACAAAACCAATAGGTAGACCTTTTAAATGAATAGATTTTAAAATATTTCGTTTTGCCCTATTTTTCGGTCAATGATGTATAATATATTTTGTTAATAGTTATGTTTTGTT